TGTGTGAATGTGTGTGTTTGTGTGAATGTGTGTGTTTGTGTGAATGTGTGTGTTTGTGTGAATGTGTGTTTGTGTGAATGTGAGTGTTTGTGTGAATGTGTGTGTTTGTGTGAATGTGTGTGTTTGTGTGAATGTGTGTGTTTGTGTGAATGTGTGTGTTTGTGTGAATGTGTGTGTTTGTGTGAATGTGTGTGTTTGTGTGAATGTGTGTGTTTGTGTGAATGTGTGTGCTTGTGTGAATGTGAGTGTTTGTGTGAATGTGAGTGTTTGTGTGAATGTGAGTGTTTGTGTGAATGTGTGTTTGTGTGAATGTGTGTTTGTGCGGATGTGTGTGTTTGTGTGAATGTGTGCGTTTGTGTGAATGTGTGCGTTTGTGTGAATGTGAGTGTTTGTGTGAATGTGTGTTTGTGTGAATGTGTGTTTGTGCGGATGTGTGTGTTTGTGTGAATGTGTGTGTTTGTGTGAATGTGAGTGTTTGTGTGAATGTGTGTTTGTGTGAATGTGTGTTTGTGTGAATGTGTGTGTTTGTGTGAATGTGTGTGTTTGTGTGAATGTGAGTGTTTGTGTGAATGTGTGTTTGTGTGAATGTGTGTTTGTGTGAATGTGTGTGTTTGTGTGAATGTGTGTGTTTGTGTGAATGTGAGTGTTTGTGTGAATGTGAGTGTTTGTGTGAATGTGTGTTTGTGTGAATGTGTGTTTGTGTGAATGTGTGTTTGTGTGAATGTGTGAATGTGTGTTTGTGTGAATGTGTGTGAATGTGTGTGAATGTGTGTGAATGTGTGTGAATGTGTGTGAATGTGTGTGTGTGTGTGTGTGTGTGTGTGTGTGTGTGTGTGTGTGTGTGTGTGTGTGTGTGTGTGTGTGTGTGTGTGTGCGCGTGTGAAGATGACCGTCCCACTGGAACCGAAGGAAAATTCTCTTCGCCGGAACCCCTTGTGGGGCGGATTCAGGACAGCGGCCGTACTCCGGCGTCTTTTTCCCAGAGACTCCCTCCTCGTCGCGGGGGAAGCCCTGCTCTCCCCACCTGGGTGTGCTGTGTTCTCGCGTTGGACTTCACTTTTACTCTATGGGTGACACAATAACTCAAGAGTGGGGGCGTGGGGACAGCCTTCTGGGAAGCGGCTCCCACTAACACGGCTGGACATGCACGTACATCCAAGGTCTATCTAAGTACTTACGTAGCTCTTACGTACATCGGTCACCTACAGCCCAGCACCGCCCTACACTCCGCTGCCGCCGTACTTGCTGCACACTGTGCATCAGTTGTAAAACAGGTCGTAGCACATTAAAGGTAACGCACGCATTTCGCGCCGTGTACGCCGCCGGCAGACCACGGCTGAAAGAGCTATCTTCGCATTACCGTCTCGGCATCAAATTACTGTGTTATCCACCGGTGCTCTCCTCTAAACGTGGCGCTTGCATTGCACGCCTCTGCTCATGCTGCATTCTGCAATGAGGCGCGTCCACTACACTCTTAACTGCTGCATTTACCGACCTTTAGCTGGCCATAATCGCCTTCCCCTCGCTGTACCAAACATTTTACCTGGAAAGAGAAAATAGCTAGTGTTAGAATGCGCGGCCAAGTGAAATATATGGCAAGGGGGCCGTGCTCGGCTGAACACAGGCTGCTGGTGAGGGAGAGACAGTATGCAACGTATGGTGGCGCTGATGAGGTAGAGTCAATGGTGCAACGTATGGTGGCGCTGATGAGAGAGTCAATGGTGCAACGTATGGTGGCGCTGAAGAGAGAGAGTCAATGGTGCAACGTATGGTGGCGCTGATAGCATGGTACGTCTTATCCCACGAGAGTTCTTTGGTGTTATATATCAGTACATACTACTTACCAGCAAAAAATACATACTATTGCTGTTTCACATCTGAAATCATTCCCTTCATCCATCCGTTGTCAACGTGGAGCGCCTTGTGACTCAAATAAAGTGTATTCAAAGTTTAATGATTCATCAATGTTTATCATCGTTCTGCTAATAAACAACCCGAATTAGATGGAATGTTTTACTCACTGGATTTGTCATGAATAAACATGTGTCAGTTCTAGCTGTCGTAACAATGCGCATCATATTCATCAAAACAACAATCATATCCAATCATTCCCATTGCTTCTGAAGGTGTAATCACATTGTCGTTTATTTCAATGCGATGCAATTTTGCTGTTAGAGCTCTATTGACCTTCTGATTACGCGCGCCATTACACACAACGGAAATTCCGAATACAAACACCAAACCTTCGTCGCATCGAACCGGCGACGGCAGGCCTCGCCTTCCCTCGAATGCCTGCACAGCATCGCGTGTCTTTCTCCATCAAGCATCTCCTCGCCTCCGTGTGTGACGGACTGGGGGTTCATGAGGGGAGCGACAGTCATCGAGGGGGAAGGAAAAGGGGGGAAATGATATGATGCCGTCGACAGAAACCTCGTACATTCCGATCGCAAAGGGCAAGGGTGCCAGAGGGGGCCTTGAAGAAGGGAGGATATCAAGACACTGGAGATCTGTAGCACTTAGGACACCAAAAGGTAAAGTCAGGGAGGCGTCTGCGGGGATCTAAGCCGGCCAACGAACCGGACACGACAAGGTTACCCGTCATACGATCTCCGTTCAGCCTGCCGTTTACAAGGGGCAAACATGCAGCCGCGGTTTCCACTTCGATGCACCGAAGTAAGGCTGATCGCTTCGAGAGGGGGAGGTTTAGCTCGCAACTACTATGGTTGAATTATTATTGGGTCCGTTCGTGGCCGGATGCTCGAGTCCCACATGGCCCGTATTCCCGAAGTCACAATCGACCTGAAGACGATAATACAAGAGTAAGCCATCCTTCTTACATGACAGCGTCACCAAGCCCAGCGGCCACGCAGTCCTAGAAGTGAACCCTCATGGCCGGGCGGCCACGCGGCCTCAATTGCTACAGTGTGGACCTCATCGTGGGCACTCGACACCAGCAACATGCGTCATCCTCCATGCTCCTACACAATTACGCAACTTCCCCCATTCTCGGCGCTGCCATGCACTCCCTCTTGGGTGCGCCCTGCCGTGCACTTACTTTCTCCTGGACAGACAGTCGACTAGGCCTAAGACTTTTACCGTCATCCAAAGGGATGATATTACCCCCTCCCTTGCCACCCACGTCGGTCCTTTCGTTCTCTTCGGCCCCACGCCCTCCGATACTGCCGCCCATCCCCAAAGGGCAATACTCTGGCATCCAACCCACTCCTCCCCTCCCAGTGTTCCTCGCAACTCTCGTACCCCAAGTCTCGCGGCGTCCTCCCTCTGCGCTAAAAACTCGCGTCCCTTCAACCTTATTCTCGTTTATCTTGAACTTGAGAATGTCACCAAAGATCTGCCTAGTTCCTTTTCATCTACTTCTCTCTCTTCCTAATAGTTATCAGCCTTTCTCTCAGTTTCTCCTCCTTTGCTTAGCAACAATATTTGTTCTGAGAAATAACCACGGGCATCTCTTTTGCCTCTATCAATGAATCCCTGTCCCTTCCTATCCCATACAACCAACACTAGCCTAACCTCTTCCTTTCCTCTCTCTTACCCGTTTCTTCTTCACTTCTTCCCTCTCTTTCCATCTCCTTCCTCCATTGCTATTTTTTTTTTTTGTCTCCACCTTCCTGCTACTCTCCTCCCATCACATCTTTTCTTCCTCATCTTCCCTCTCGTCCCCCCCCCCCCCCAGTTGGCATCCACGTGCCGCATCGCTTCTTCCTTTGGCTGATGACCCGAGGCCTTTCAAGTTCTATTCTTCTCGGCTTTATTGTATCTTTCACGAAAAGGGAGAGGGAGCACGAGGAAGAAGGGGAAGAAGAGGAGGAGGTGGAGGAAGGGAAGGAGGTGGAGGGAGGTGGTCCAGCCACGTGAAACACCCTCCCATCTCCCTTCTTCACTGCCAAGATACTGTCTCTCCGTGGAAGTATCTCCCAATCGTCTTCCCGCATCTCCACCGACCCTCACGCCCTCCATATCCTGCCCATCCTCGCACCTCCCGGGACTTCGAGGCAAGATCCTGGCCCAGATGACCCTTGCATCCGGCCGAGGCAGCGGGCAGGAGGGAAAGGCCTTACAGAGAGTTCCACGCGCTTCTTCTTTCTTCTCTTTCCATCTCCTTCCAGCTTCTCCGGTCGTTGTCTACTTCGCCTCCTGCTGCTTTTGTATCCGTGATTTGTAAGCCTAATGTACATGGCACAGACTGAGGCGGCCTCCCATGCTTTATCGTGGTAGGCTTACAGGAAAGGAGGGGAGGAGGAGGGGGCCGTGGAGGAGGGGAGGAGGAAGGGGCCGTGGAGGAGGGGAAGGGAGAGGAGGGGAAGGGAGAGGAGGGGAGAGGAGAGGAGGGGAGGGGAGGAGAGGGGAGAGGAGGGGAGGAGGAGGAAGAGGGGAAAGAGGGAAAAGAAGAGGGGAAAGAAGAAAAGGAAAACTAAGAGGAAAAAGAGAAAACAAAGAGTTGGATAAAGAGGATTAGCACTACAGATTGCTTGGATGAACAACGAACGACATTCCTTGAGAAAAGCCGTAGTCGATAACTGGATCAATTTCGTTCGGGTCAGAGCATGGATTCTAGACTATTCGAACTTCCCGAATGTTGGAGGAGGTCCACGATTAGCGAGGCGCTGGCGAAGGAACACTACTCGAGAATTCGACCTTGAAACTCAATCTCGAGGAAATACAAATGGGAACAAGACCCTCCCGGCAACATGACATACTATATTCGTAGAAAAAAGGGAGTGGGGAGGGAGGGGGATGAAGGGGGAGGTAGGAAGAAGAAGGAACGTTGGATGTGGAGGATGAAGAGAAGGGAGAAAAAAGGTAGGAAACGCAAACAAGTAAACCTAAGAAAACAAAACGAGTAAGGATTTGAGAGGTAGGAGAGGGATGATGATGTCGCGCTGAAGATCCTTACTTTGTTGCTTTTAATCACATGCGGCGCCGCCCTCCGTCACGAGAGCGACTGTTTCATGCGGCGCCGCCCTCCACCACGAGAGCGAATGTTTCATGCGGCGCCGCCCTCCGTCACGAGAGCGACTGTTTCATCATGCGGCGCCGCCCTCCGCCACGAGAGCGACTGTTTCATGCGGCGCCGCCCTCCACCACGAGAGCGAATGTTTCATGCGGCGCCGCCCTCCACCACGAGAGCGACTGTTTCATGCGGCGCCGCCCTCCGTCACGAGAGCGACTGTTTCATGCGGCGCTGCCCTCCGTCACGAGAGCGACTGTTTCATGCGGCGCCGCCCTCCGCCACAAGAGCGACTGTTTCATGCGGCGCTGCCCTCCGTCACGAGAGCGACTGTTTCATGCGGCGCCGCCCTCCGCCACGAGAGCGACTGTTTCATGCGGCGCCGCCCTCCGCCACGAGAGCGACTGTTTCATGCGGCGCCGCCCTCCGCCACGAGAGCGACTGTTTCATGCGGCGCCGCCCTCCGTCACGAGAGCGACTGTTTCATGCGGCGCCGCCCTCCACCACGAGAGCGACTGTTTCATGCGGCGCCGCCCTCCGCCACGAGAGCGACTGTTTCATGCGGCGCCGCCCTCCGCCACGAGAGCGACTGTTTCATGCGGCGCCGCCCTCCGCCACGAGAGCGACTGTTTCATGCGGCGCCGCCCTCCGCCACGAGAGCGACTGTTTCATGCGGCGCCGCCCTCCACCACGAGAGCGACTGTTTCATGCGGCGCCGCCCTCCGCCACGAGAGCGACAGTTTCATGCGGCGCCGCCCTCCGCCACGAGAGCGACTGTTTCATGCGGCGCCTCCCTCCGCCACGAGAGCGACTGTTTCATGCGGCGCCGCCCTCCGCCACGAGAGCGACTGTTTCATGCGGCGCCGCCCTCCGCCACGAGAGCGACAAATGACAAAATGCTTGTTACTAAAAACGCCGGGATTTTCATGGATTCAGTTACAAGGAAGTAGATTGCAAAATATGTCAGAGAAGGAGAAAGGCAATGGGTGAAGTGTTCCGGGAGGAAAATCAGCAGCGCCCGAACAGAACGACGCAAGAAGACTCAGGACTGGGGATCCTTCATTTCAAAAATTCAATAAACAAAATATGTCCGCGACTCCCGTGCTTTGGCCCGACTCCTGCAATCCTCCTCCACCCCCGGCCCGCCCGCGCCACCTCCCTCCTCCATCCCGGGGCTATGCCGCCATCACCTCCTTGCTCACTTCCCTTTTAGTTTTCACTTTCCTGTCTTCTTCCTCTCTGAAGGTGTTATCTCTTGTTATTTCCAGAATCATAATCATTGCTCTCGTTATTGCTACTACAGCCATAACCATCGTGCCGATCCTGTTGATTGGTGGTCTTACACTTACACTTTCCAGCTTTTGCCAGCACCGTGCGCAGCCTTTGCCGTCTTCTCCAGGCCTATATCCAGACGTTGTCCAAAATCTTGAACTCGAGCTCGGGGGACGAAAGTTCTTAGACAAATAAAAAACAAAGTTTACTGTATCAACAAACATAATGTGGAAGTGAGCGCGGCAACATGGGAAACGAGCAGGCGGCCCATCTCGATGTTTATCATATTATTCTTATATGTTATTATCATTTTTGTATTATTCTCAAGGTATAAAAGTGATATTAGCTGACGATCAGGAGTATGAAATCTTATACAACTAAACAATAATTTTACTTCATCTAACAATAAAAAGAATAGTCTATCGTCACAGTACGATTTGTTTTCATGTTTTTTTTTTCTTTTGAGGGAAGTTGGCCGTAAAGGACCGGTTCTTATCAGAGCCCTTAACCCCCTCCACTACACGCGCATCTATCATGCGCACCGACTTTTAAAATCTATGTCATGGTACAATGCAACCGAGGTTAGGTGTGCAGTTGGTAGTAAATCGCGACAGATTATCATTTCTCATAAACCCCTGTAGTAGACATGTAATTCAAAACTTTTGATGAAGGAAGATTTACGCGGTAGAACAAGTGGCTTTTCTAGGAGGGAAATGATGAAAATATAATTTCATTATATTTATCTATCTAATGGATGAGTGGCTGATTCTTTGGTTCACTAGTTGATTTCTAGCTGTCAGCAGTTTAGAAGAAGAGTGAGGGAGTGAAGCAATTTCATGGACTGGCTGCCTTTAGGTCGTGGGCCAAGTGACCGATTTCGGTGGCGAACCCTACATTAAGTTGAGGTGACTCCAAAAGGAAGTACATTGTGTAAAGACAGGTAACTGACTGGCTGTTTGAGGTGGCTAGCGTTAATAGAGATGGACTCTACGTAGCTTATGAATAGATGAGAATGGATGCCCATCTTAATTTATCTGCTGGGTGGCTTATTATTCGGTTAACCCGAATCTCGATTTATTGGTCTGTCAGTAGAACTACACAGAAAAGTGGCGATGAATACGTCTACAGGCTTTCACGCAATTATCCCAAGAAATAGGATCAATCAGGCCAATTCGTGGCTATTCACACGGAAGTATAAACAGGAGGCGGCATACTTAGCAGGGCTCGTTTTTTTCAGAATGGCCACTTTTTTTCCGATT